TGTGTTTTATACAATTGATCTATGTATTGTGATGAATTGTATGAGCCCCAATAAATTGATTAAAAAAAAAAAAAAGACCTGCAGGAGCCCTCTGATGCAGTCACTGCCATTGGTCCACACAATTCTGCACCCACTAGCCTGTGATCTTCCTGCATTCTGCAACATTGCATGTGGATGAGTGAGTCTTAAGAGGGATTTATGGACTAGTATCAGACTTAGGGACTTGATCTGAACTGGGCTGGGATGTTTTATTGATGCATGATTACTTCTTGTTATAAAGCTCTTTTTTATACATATATGAGTGTCTCTGGGTTTCTTTCTCTAGTCAACCCAGACTAACACAGCAATCCTCGAAACATTTATTTCTTATTTTTCACTTTATTTCCTCCTATAAACAATTCAAACTAATAGAAAATAAGTAACCCCAAAAAATGAAGAGCATGCTAACAAAGCACTAATTAGAAGGAAAATAATTTAAAATTATGTGTTTCCATGTTGATTAAAGTTGAATTAAGAAGGGGGTTTTCATTGATTCTATTATCTGTCTTTGGTTTTCTCTTCTTCATAACAATGCTTTCTTGAATCTCAGATAGACCCAAATATGTTTTCATAATTTCAGTTTTATAATTGCTGCCAAAAGACCACTTTAAAAGCCTGCTTGGCTATGGAGCTTGTCTCATAATTGAGACAATGAGAAAATGAGTATGCTGTTATTGCTGATTAAATAGTTGGCATGATATCCTAATGGAAATTCAAACAATGACTTAAAAACCTGGAACGTTATTCTATACCACTTCATGACATCTAAAGTAAAGAAATACAGCAGAGAGAAATAAACATTTTTTAGATTGTACTCACTGTTTACACGTATTGCATAATCAAAGAAAGTCATAAGTTTAATAAAAATAAATTGCTTTTAATATATATTAGGAAATTATTATTGGCTTCTAATAAATAAAGTGTATTTTACCTGTAAAATGACATAGGAGATTATATATAAAGATGCACAAACACACACACACAGGGATATCCCCCCAAAAAACTGGAATTGTTCTCGGTGGAGTTTTCATAGTATGCATTTTTCCCAATTAGGCGAGCATTCAGCAACTGGCTCTGAGTTAGTGTACCCAGTGGCATCACTTGGGAAGGTACTCTCTGGTCACAGTGAATTTTTTCATAAAAGTAGTTTTGCTCAAACCTCATTTTTTGTGATGGATGATTTAAGATTATAGCATACGACAGTGAAATTTTCTTTGCTGTCAAGAACAATGTCGCCAAAATTGTTATGATATTGAACATGGCTTACAAGGACAGTGGCATGGGAAAAACTCAAGTGTATGAATTGTTTTCTCATTTCAAAAAAGGTGAAATGTCAATTGATGACAAATCTCGTTCTGAACGTCCTTCACTTCCCCAAATGGACAAAAGTGTCGACTTATAGTGAATTTGGAGTTCATGACACCAGGTCAGACTGTTAATCAAGCTTTCTATTTAGAGGTTTTGAAAAGATTACATTAACAGTGTGCAACAAAATAGGCCTGATTGGTGGCAGGTGGGGAACTGATTTATCCATCACGACAATGCACCCTCTAACACAGCCATCTACATGTGCCAGTTATTAGCAAATAATAGTATGCCTCTCTTGCCCCATGAACTTTACTCAGCTGACCTCATATTGTGCAACTTCTTTTTGATTCTGCAAATGATGATGTAGAAAAGGTAAAGAAAAAAAAAGGAGGTGCTTTCAGTCATTGTGTTAGTTTGGGTACTTTAGAGAAACAAATCCACAGAAACTCATGTATAAGATAGAGTTTTATATAAAAGTTAAGTGCACATCAAGAAAACATCCCAACCCAGTGCTGCCCA